TGAATGAGACTATCAATTATCTTAAATTACTTGATATGGTGAAAAGATTAAAGAATTATAAAGAAATTATGTGATTTTCCTGAAAATGTGAAAAAAAAAAAAAAAAAAAAAAAGTATCCCAATACCTTGTAGCTGGATTAAGGATTACGTGGCATATGAGTCGTAGAAGAAAGGAATACGAGATGGTATAAAAGCGTTGGGAAGACATACAGAGAGATAGAGAGAACTCAGAAAGCAGAGAAGCCATGGAAAACCAGAGCGATCTCAACCCGGAAAGGGAAACCCTAATCAATACATTCTGCGAAATCACTTCTTCTACCAATCCCGAAGCTCTCTTCTACCTCGAGAGCCACAACTTCGACTTGGACTCCGCCGTCTCCACCTACTTCGAAACCAATCCCGCCGACCCCTCCGCCGACGTTCCCGCTCCCGCCGCCGTCTCCGCCGCTACGGCCAACGCACACTCCCCTGCTGACTCCCTGCCCTACTCCCCTTCCCAATCCGAGTCTTCCTCTCCGCCTCGCTCGCGATCCCCTTCCCCTCGCCGTCGCTCCAAACAGCCCCAGCCTTCCGGCGCGTATAATCTCCGGTCTTCTAAACACGGGAACGCATCAGCCCCTGGCGGTAGTGGTGCTGGCCGGCGGAGTGGCGGGATTCATACCTTCGCTGATCTGAATCGTCGAACCGCTGCAGGATCCGGGAGCGACTCCGATGAGCCTCAGGAGTACTATACTGGTGGAGAAAAAAGGTGATTTTGTCTGTTTATTTATCGACATCCGTATAATTCTCGTTTTTTGCTTACAGAACGATCTCTCTCTCTTTTTTTTTTTTTTTTTTTTTTTTTTTTTTTTTTTTTTTCTAATCAATATATAAGTCTCTACGTATTGGTGCTGTAGGATTAATGGAAAAGTGCACAAGATTGGGATAAAAAAGTAATTACGTTTAGAACACTCTGGGAAATTGTTAGGTGATTTGTTTATTTGATGGAATTACAATTTATTGTGCATAGCTCAAATCACTATAAATCTGAAATCCTTGCATATCAATGTTCAAATATCCAATCGAATATGTTTTTCAGACTCAAATGTGCTGCAACAGGTCAAATTGGGTTTGGAGTAAACTATATTTTGAACAAGTTAAATTTTAATTGAATTTAAAAGCCAACTGCCAGACCTTTGTAATGGAATTATTATTTTTATACATGAATACTTGGTTTTACTTCATAGCAAGAATGCCATGCATTTGCTTGTGTGAGTATATATGCCCATTCTAAATCTGCCCAAATGATCCCTTAAGTGGAATAGTGGACTGATTTAAGAATCCCTCCATGGAGATTTGTAATCAATGTGCATATGTTGATGCATATTGAACTGGTCTGCTCATAAAGCAATAAAATGCTCATTTTTGTTTTTTCTTTTCATGATTCTTTATGCATAATTGTATGATTGTATTTTTTAATTTTAATGTCCATATGTCTTGTGTGTAGGTATTGTTGTGATCTGTAAGGGACTACAGAGCAACCCCTTAGTGAAGTTTTATTTTCATTGATGAATCCTCTCTTTTGTTTCATTGTTTCCATCTCTAGCATTTTCTCATTTTTCTTTTTGGTTGATGCTTTAGTTTTTATTACCAAGTGCATTCTTTTTCTCCTTTTTTTCCTCAGTCTGATTTGCTACTATGAGCTCTAAGTCTTTTGAATTTTGACTATGCTGCCAGAAAAAAATGTGCTTCTGTTTTGTGCATGAAAAAAAAAAGTTATTTTTTAATATATCCTTTGTGTTTGTCGGTGGGTATATTGTTTCAAATACCTAACAGTGAGAACCTTCCTTATTCAGAAACATTATTACTCATTTACTCCATATCACTTTTGAGATATATCTTTTTCATGATTTTTTTTCTATATCATGTCTCCACCTCTTTCCTAGCAAATGGGACCCATGGTCACTTGTTCTGCACTCAAACTAATACTAAATTTGTCTGGGCCAGTGATTATTTAGTATACAATTTTACTTGTCAGCTTGCTCTTTCTTTTATCAATAATCAACTGGATATTTCATTGTCTAATTTATTGGTGGAGTTTGTAGACAAGCCTCATTGATGGCTAATCATGTGATTCGATTTCTTGTTGGCTCGTAAATAGCCTTATTAGAGATTAAGTTGAGATGATTCTGTTTACTTTTGACTTGTATTTTACAATTGCTGTATTTTTGTAGTGGAATGCTTGTTCAAGATCCATCCAAAGTGAATGATGTGGATGCAATATTTAACCAAGCCAGACAGACTCAACCTGTAGGTGGACCTGTTGAGAATCTTCCTCCGTCAAGTTCAAGAAGCTTTACTGGAACTGCACGGCGACTCACTGGTGAAACTGTTCCTTCTGCTCCTCAGCGACCTGAAGTTGTTACCCATAATATCACTTTCTGGAGCAATGGGTTCACGGTAGATGATGGACCTCTCAGAAGGATGGATGATCCTGAAAATGCACACTTTTTGGAGGTAATATCTATTTTTTTCTGAGATCTTGATTAGATTCACTGTGTATTTGCCCCATCCTATGTGCTATGCTAATACTTTTGCTTTTTCCCCTTTTCCGTCTTAACTTAATCTGTTATCATCAAATTAAATATGTATTAAACCAGTGGAATCCAGTGGAATTACTGGCAGTGTAGCCATTTCCAGGATAGAATCAATTAAACTTGAAATTGGAGGACAAACATGCCCTTATGTTGATACTCCATAAAGTAGTACTAGTGCATTATGTGGTACTAGTTCGGCAAAAATATCAATATAAGACTCTATTCTTCCAAAGTTATTAGCTGATTGAAAGTGCTAGTATTTGGATTTCTCCTCATAGTTTCAATCTCTTTCTCTCGACGTTGTCTTATAACAGTTCAGATAATTGTTTCTTTGACATTTAAATGAGGAATTTAGAACTGAATATTGGTTAACTATTAGGTTCGAGTTTTGAAGGACAATTTTATTCCTCAATTATCTTTTCTTTTCTTAGAGGCTCTAAGTAATCTTAGATATATTTTGGCTTATGCAGAGTATAAGGAATTCCGAGTGCCCAAAGGAACTTCAGCCACCAGACAGGAGGACAGCGGTCCATGTTAATCTCACAAGGAGAGAGGAGAACTGCCCGGTATGTTGTCTATTCTTCTTTTACTTAGTTACGTGATGAATATCACTGTTTACTGATGCTCTCAGTTTTTCTATTTTTTAGGCACCAGCGAAGCGGAAAACACCATTTCAGGGTGTAGGAAGAACCTTAGGTGGCACTACTAATGACGATGCACCAGTAGAGACAACAGTTGCAACCGCTCCCTTAACCTCTGCTCCTGCCCCAGCCATGGGTCTCGTCGTTGATGAAACCCAACCTTCCACGTCAATTCAGCTCAGGCTCGCTGATGGCACACGCATGGTTTCCCGGTTCAACATCCACCACACAATCAGAGATATTCGAGGATTCATCGATGCATCAAGGCCCAGTGGTCCGAGGACCTACCAACTGCAGACAGTGGGGTTTCCTCCGAAGCAACTTACCGATCTGGAGCAGACAATAGAGCAAGCCGGGCTAGCCAATTCGGTTGTTATCCAGAGAGTTTAGCTTATTCGAATCTTTATTTACGTTCAGGCTTCAGCAAATCATGCTAGGTAACATTCCAATTTATATACCATCAGTGAAAATTATGTACTAAATTCAGTTCAAGTATGAGCTGCTATTGATGGAAGCTTAAGGCATCATGCCATTTTATTTGCCATTTTTAAACTGTGTCTTGCAAGTTGCAAATGACAAGAATCACATTATTGCTTCAGTACCTTTCGGATGAGTTACCTAATGCTTGCACTTTTGGGCAGCTGACTTGAGCCCATTTTAGATCATTATTCTAATCATTTAAGTTTCACACCATGCAAGATAAACATAATACAGATCTTTTAAAATGTTTTAGAAAATCATTTTTAATATATTATAAATTAAAATAAATTTATATTAATACATTAAAAATGAACCTGCAATATATTAAAAATAAAATTTTTATTAAAAAATCTATCTTGCTACCTAGATTCTAGGTGATCCACATTATGATGCTACTCATAACTAAGTGTTCATTATTATAGTTTATTAAATATTTATTTTTAATGTACTAAAAAATTAATTTTTATAATATACTTGAAAAAAAAAAAACATTTAGTACTCAATGAATTTTCAAAAAATAAACATTCAATTCAATATATTAAAAATAAACTTTATGTCAATATCTATCTTGTAAAGTGATCCAATGATATAACCGTATATTTATGTAAATCTAACATTTTCTTGGATTGTAGTTTGCAGTTGGGCACATTAATTAATTCTTGTTTCATTTTCTTTATTATTATTATTATTATTATTATATCTTTTTTGATGTATTAGGGCATCCACTTCCCTTATCTCTCCATTTTGTAGGTCCAATTCTTCTTTCTCCCCTTTTAATTTCATCTCATATTTTCTCTCCAATTCTTCTCTATTCTCCCTTTGTGTGGATCCCACTAATCTTTCATTATCCTACACTATATACATTATTTTATTTACTTTTCTATAATTAATAATTTCAACTTTATAATTTTAATTTTAAATAAAAATAAATTTAAATAATGAAATAAAAAAATTCAAAAACAAACTTAAAATACTATATATATACCAAAAATTAATAATATTAAAAATTTTAAAAATATGTTTAATACAGAAATTTACAATTTACAAAATAAAATAATAAAATAACAAATTAAAAAAAATAGAAAGAAAAGGAAATCAAGCCGAAAATCTGTTCAAAATCAAATCAAAATCAAGCTGAAAATCTGTTCAAATGAAACCAAAATTTCAATTAACACCAAATCTGTTAAAAACAAAGGAAAGGAAATGAAAGGAAGGCTTGATTTCCAGTTAAAAACAAACATTTTTTTTTCGCTCACGCCATTGGGGGGTGGGTGATGCCCTTAAGGTTTAGATGACATGGATGGACAGCAAGAATTGAAGTTGTAATCCCAGAATAGGGCACACTAGCATTTTAAATATCGAAAGTTACCACAAAAATTTTTTTAACAAAAGCCTCTAACTTTTTTGTAAAGCCCAGTATCTTCTCATCACTGTACAGAATTCAATTCCACAACACTGGAGCCCTTATATGCAAGAACTTGGATCCCCTTCTATGAAGCCTCAAGCGGTCATCTCTTTCTGCGTTTAGTCTCCACCTACCATCAAACATTGGATTAAATCAACCCAGTAACAAGTCTGTCAATCAGTTTTTTTTTTTTTTTTTTTTAAAGAATCAAGTAATCAACAGGCAAGGAAGTAAACATATGCAATTGTTAGAGAAATAAGAATTCAGGCTGAAATTAGTGTTGTTCCAAGAATCTGCTAGACTATATGCCAACCCTATTCTCTTTTCAGACAGACAATTGTCTCTCTACAACAGAATATTATGAATTCAACATCGCTCATTGTCGGACAATGACTTCACAGACTGTGTCGGGACTCGTAGGCTTCATTTCCATTTCATGCACACTGCTTAGCCTCACCCCCACCCACCCCACCCCCCGGGTGGGGTATTTTGATGACAGGTCGGATAAGAACCGGAGGAGGATCCTATGTGGTCAAATACCTAGCAACAAACTCCTATGTTCCTTACAGTATTTCTCTGCAATTTCCTGGATGACAAGTCTAAACTTACTGTTGAACGCCAATGGGTTTACCCTATCATGGTGTTATTCTCGCGTTCTCTCAATTTCAACTTTTTGAGTATTCACTACAACAAGAGAGGGACAGAGAAATAAATCACCATAAGCCAGAAAAGTAAACCTTAGGGCAGAGTTGAGAAATCGTGAGTTCAAATGAGTTTCTATAAGGGTTCACCGTTGAAAAATCAAGATCCTTCCCGGGTGCCCCACACCATTCAAAAGGTGGATGGTAAATGAAGCATTAGTTGTTATTCAGAACAGTATTCCAAATGAGACCAAAACAAATATTCCGAATAGGAACACACAGTCTAACCTTCGGCTCAACAGCTGGAGGTACATGAAATGAGTTTAATGGCCGCTTAGCCTCGTCCTCAGCTGAACATTCTGAACACAAGAAATGCTCTAATTTTTTTGCTTCATCAATTGTCATACCCATACAGGAGGGATGAAACCTGCATTTTTTAAAGACTTTAATAAAGCAAAAAAAAAAAAAAAAAAAGAGCATCTGTACAAGTAGGTTGAACATAACCCTATGGCCTTGAAATTTAAGGATACAGGGCACTAATAATACTCCAATTCTGCAATAAGTTCTCAATCCGTATAATAATAGAATGAATAGACATGTTTTCAGATCTTAACACTAAGGAATATAAAACCTGCCACTAAAAAGCCTCAGACAGTTTACAAATAGTCTCATTGCAAACCAGTATTAATGTTCCAAGCCTCCCTCAAATTAAGAAGTTTCTCATTTTTCTCACATCATCTTAAGAACCTAAATTTATCTTTTCTTTATTTTTACATGGATGACAGCATGACGCCATAAAGAACCTATTCCCTTTGCAGTATTAAACGAAGGAACTTTACGCTCTTTATCAGAGCCATTTTCTCTTCCATATGAAGGGGGATCGTGATCCAACAATATGGAAAGGAATAACTAATATTTGGTAATTAGCTTAACAAATAAAAAGTGGATAATAAGATCAAACTTCATTAGCAGCGTAAACAACTTATTTCCAGTAGTCTTAGCATGCAGTTCTTGAGGGAATTATTGGTTGCAGAATGGGGAAGACGGGGTAGAGTTGAGCCAACAAGAAACTTGTAGTGCTACCAGCTGTTAATGTTTGTGGAATGGTAGCGTAAAGTTTCTCCTTTGCTTTTTATTGACTAAATCACATTTTGTTACAATATGATGGTTTTTGCCATGAACGGTGATATGTAAATATCTAATTACCCGAAATAGTTTACATGCCTAATTACCTACTGCATCTATAATGAGGTACAGAAAGAAGCAGCATCCAAATATATTTCAAGAGATTTAAAACTCATACCAATCCTTGCATCCATCACATTGTACCATGAGATCATCAGGGTTATACGGCATCTCACACTTGCAATACCTTCAGAATAATTAAATAGAATAACTTTAGAGAATGCAGTCATATTGTTTAAATTTCCAAATAACTTTAATTTTGCCCGTTTTGGAAACAATTCTAGCAGAGGGATGAACAACTCACACAGCTACACGGTCAGGAGTGAACCCTCCAGTAGCAGCTTTGTACTCAAACCTACAGAAGTAGTCCTCCGGGCCAACATTCTCAAGCTTTGTATAGTTCTTGAAAGAATGCACTATGCACTTTCCTTCAATTGTGTGTGCACTCTGTATATCATAGTGGTCTGATAGAAATAGCTCCTTGGCCCCATGAAACTGTCTGCGGCCACCCATGGACTCCTCAGGGCGATAGTACCATCGCACTCGCACTTTCACATTGTTCCGGTGATCAGCTTCTATCTTCTCAACTCTCGCCACATATGGGGGCTTATTAGTATCTGCCGGTCTCATTAGTACACAATCCCCAGCTGAAAAAGATATGCCATAATTTCAACTATCAATACTCCACAAAAGTATTAATATGTATGTATGCAAGCATATATATACACACACACTTAATCCACAATAAACTAATAACAGTTCTGGAGACAAACCAGTGTTTCCAATACAATAGCATTCACTGATGAGCAGCAAGAGAATACTAAAAATAGAAGAAAAATACCAAATACATGCACCCATACATAGGTAAATATCACCAAGTACATGCTTCAAAGATCCTATCATGATTAATGCTGTTCAGAAACAAAGAATAATTGTGATCAACCTTTAGCTCAGAAACGCACATTTCACATTTTTTTTAAGATTCTGGTGAAGAGTGTAGACCCATAAACCAAAAAATCCAAAAAATAATAATAATAACATTTTCCTTATTTTTTTTTCCACAGAAGCAGACAATAGCTTTTGCTCATAAACAAAACCAAGCACTCTTTAAGATTAAAAAAAAAAAAAAAAAAAAACGGAACTTTAACTCGAGTACTCGATATAGAGAGGTGGGGAGGGGAAAAGAGAGCATAGAGCGTCGAAATTCATTACGTCTGACGATCTTGTTGGTGCCTTTGATGCTGTAAGAATCGAGGTCCTTCTTCCCGGGTTTCGTCTTCGCCATCCCAGCTCCTCCAAAATGGCGCTGAAGCTTCGCCCCAATCCGCGAAAGAAAAATTCCTCTGGATACAGAGACTTTGCCGGAGTTTTCTAGAGAAAACAGAAACGGAAAAGCCGCGGAGCGATAGATGATTCTGCTTTGGAAATCAAAAATGGAGCGTATAACTTCCAATTGGGTGAAAAGATAAGCAGAAACCCTAGCTGCTGGGAAATAGGAACACAAGTACAGAAGCCGAAGAGAGAGAGATGATGGGTTTTGTTGCAGTAGCATCAACAACTGTCCCCTACCGATTCGAGTCAATTCCTGTACTGTTTATATTTTTTCAAATTAAGCAAAAGTTTGATTATGACAGAATTGGTGCGTTTATAGACTTTAGAAGAGCAATCCTGTTTGAAAATTATACTCTTCTTTGATTTACAAAAAAAAAAAACAAAACAAAACAAAACAAAAAAAAAATCAACTTCCCACAATTGAAATTAAAATATATTTTTGAATTGAAATTCACGTTTTAATTTTAACCAGAAAAAATAACAAGAAATAAATAAATTTAGATTATTCATAAATAATTGATTAAAATTATAAAAATAAGGTCAATTTTGAATTATTTTTTTTCATGTCATACCCGTCTCCCGAAATACGACTAATTTATCTTATTCTAAACCGAATGTATATGAGTTTAGCCTGTCATTATATTCAAACGACTTTTAAAAATTTCAATTGAGTTAATATGTCTAGATAAAATTTATTTAAATGAATCGTGATTAAAATAATTAACTAGGGACATGGATCTTGTACGTGAAGGCAACAATACTTGTATCAACTATTTAATATGGAGTATATGTTTTAGTTATATTAGAATTGCTTAATATGTGGTTGTCTAAGTCTTTTAGATGCCGTGATTAAAATAATTAACTAGGGACATGGATTTGATGCATGAAGGCAACAATACTTGTATCAACTATTTAATATATGTGGTGTGGTTGTCTTAGCCTTTTAGATGTTCCAATTCAATATATGTGGTGTGGTTGTCTTAGTCTTTTAGATGTTCCAATTATATATTTTTTCTGGTGCTATATATTGACTCTGTTACAATATAGTATATGCACAAATAGTCACTATGCTTACTCTGTTACAATATAGTATCTGCACATGCACAAAGAGTCAATACTCTTGACTCTCACCAGAGATCGAACACATGACCTCCCATTTAGGAGAGTCCTTCTATGTCACTAGATCACACGGTCATTGACATGTTCCAATTATTTGATTCAATTAGAAGTATTTGTCTTAATTAATAATCTAAGTGACTCCAAATTAGTTATTGGAATCTTGTATTTCTCATATTATAAATTTTTTTTAAAAAATCATTGGACTAAGGGGAAGCATACTTTTAAATCACAAAAGGAGGCTAATGGGGTTTTGGGATCTCAAGTAGACTAACACAATTTTGGAGTGTGGCTCATTCCTTCTCCTCTCGTGATTTAAATCATAAGTTACTTATCTTCCTACATCTTGACTATTCTTAAGAAATGAGAGTGAGCAGTGCACGGCCACTCACTTCAACCAAGCTGATTATGTTAATTAATATATTTAAAGCACATTAAAAATTTTAAATATATTAAATGCTTCCTTCTTTATTTATTTTACTGTGGATTAAGAGGGTACATAAATAGGTTCCCCAAGAAAATTTATTATTATTTTTTGAGTAAAATGGAAACCCGCATAAAAATTGTGTTACCCATATGCAATTCAGCCTTTTAAAATTTTAAGGTACACAAATTCCATGGAAACTTTATTATTTCTTTGACCTCCATTCAAACTCTAAAGTCTAACCATATAATAAATTTTGCGAGTAATTCCAATCAAATTGGTCGAGCAGTTAACTTTATAATCATAAGGTTTCAAGTTTGACTCCTTATAAAAATTGTATATTGGCCTTATTGATTTGAGCTTGTCAATTTTGAGAAATCGAAGTTGTTTATCTCATTATATAATCTGTTGTCAGCTAAGATCATAATACAAGCTTCACGTAGTGCATATTTAGGTAGCGGATGTGGCATTATATTTTCTGTAAATCATAAGTGATCATGCATATTCCAACTTAATATAATTAGTTATGATGATATATGTGTGAATTGAAAATTTCATATTTAGTATATCTGATGTAGTGCTTTGGAGATATTCATCATTAACATATATATTTCATTTTTGTACTTCTTGCATGGTGTGGCATTTGCTGCATTGGTTATCATTATCATATTAGGGTGAAATAAGCTTAAAATAAACAAATAATAATAATAATAATAATAATAATAATAATAATAAATTTCAAATTAAAATACAACTCCAATATAATTCATGTTATTCATTTTACCATATCATTTTTGTCATGCCAACTACTTATTATGACACATTATTATTGTCACGTCATTTTTGCGTCATCACATACAACTTTCTAAAGTTTAAGCTTTTTTTTTTCTCCAATATAATTCATGTTATTCACTTTACCACATCATTTTTGTCATGCCAACTACTTATTATGACACATTATTATTGTCACGTCATTTTTGCGTCATCACATACAACTTTCTAAAGTTTAAGATTTTTTTTTTCTCCAATATAATTCATGTTATTCACTTTACCACATCATTTTTGTCATGCCAACTACTTATTATGACACATTATTATTGTCACGTCATTTTTGCGTCATCACATACAACTTTCTAAAGTTTAAGATTTTTTTTTCTCCAATATAATTCATGTTATTCACTTTACCACATCATTTTTGTCATGCCAACTACTTATTATGGCACATTATTATTGTCACGTTATTTTTGCGTCATCACATACAACTTTCTAAAGTTTAAGATTTTTTTTTTTTTTTTAGGGGGGTGGGGGTGTCCATGGCTATCCATTTTTATTTCCAAGTGGAGCACTTTGCTATTCTAGTTCTAGCTAGTCGAGCAATATATACATTTATAGGAGTAATAATGAGTACGTATGGTAAAATGCCAAGCTAATTAAGGTTGAAGTATTTGTCATGCCTACTCCTTGCATTTCCCATCCTTCACAATTTTCTATTGCTTACATTTTCTTTAGGGTTTCTCTAGCAGTAGGGTTTTTTTTTTTTTTTTTTTTTTTTTTTCAAACTATTTTTGCTAATATGAAAGAGGAAAGGAAAGAGAAAAAAATTGCAATGTTTTTATTTTTATTTTTACATTATTTAGTGGGTCTAAAATAATAATAATAATAATAATAATAATAATAATAATTATTATTATTATTATTATTATTATTATTATTATTATTATTATTATTATTATTATTATTATTATTATAATGACGCACTAACAGGGTTCAACAGCCAGGCGTCACATTGAGAACTGTCGACCACTCTCTCCTTTTTCTTTTTCTAATCTAACAAAAAATCCAAAGCCTTTTCTCAATTGGTGGGTTGTTCTTATACCAAGTTGTTCATCATTCTTGTCTTTAATTCAATAAATATTCTGTATAACTTCAATTAGTTGTTTAATCTTTGTTTTTTATTTATTAATTTCTACTACTATACTATTCAAGAAGTTAAAAACAAATTCTCATATAGTTGTGTATGTTGTTGTTCTAAATAAGTTAATTACGTACTTAGTTTGCACACAATAATATACATACATGTTATATTGTGTGCAAGAATATATTATTTTATATGTAAAATGTGAAATTATTTTATTTTATAATTGTGGGGTAATTAATATTGTCTACTCCATAAACTTATAACTCAACAAACATCAATAATGAAAAAAAAATTAAGGGATTGTTTACTTCATTTCTCTATTTTTCTTTTTCGAGTTTGTCATTTCTTTAGTTTTTCAATTTTCATTATCCATTCTTTCACTTTTCGATCTCTCCAATTTTCTAATTTTCATTCACCATTCATCCAGTTTTGAATTTCTCTAATTTTCTGATTTCTCTCTCTCTCTCTCTCTCTCTCTCTCTCTCTATATATATATATATATATATATATATGATTTTTAAAAAAATATTTTATAATTTGTTTCATCATATAAAAAAAATCAATACACTAAATGTAAAAAATTAAAGGTAACAAAAGACAATATAACATATTATTAAATAAATTACAACAACAACAACAATAATAATAATGAGGTAAAATGTTGTTGTGCACACATGAGAAAGGAAAAAGGATTAAAAAAAAAAAAAAAAAAAAAAAAGAGGAAGGTGTATGCAAATGGTAGAGAGTAGATGGTATAGCAACGATGCGTGGTAGGAAGAACCTCCAACTTCCATGATGAAGCACTATAGACACGCATTCCTATTATTTCTTCAGTTGGAGAACTCAAGATTAGAATACTTTTCTCCAAAATCATTGAAAAAGTGGAGAATGGAGAAGATATAAGGCTTGAAGAATTGATTTTAGTAAATAGTTTTTCATTTTTCTTTTTTTTTTCACTTCTTCAAATTTTTATTTTTTAAAAAATCCTCCAATTCTCGATCCACTTTGGTAAACAACCCCTAACCCGCTCTATAAATTGATTGAATTGAGCCCAAAAAAAAAAAAAAAAAAAAAAAAAAAATCTAAGAAGACGTGTAATGAGGCAAACCAAGCCAAACTTGATTAATTTTCCACCAACAACCACCAAATTGTCCATTACATTAATATCAACACTGCATTAAATAAGACCTTCCATTTGAAATTAATGTGTTTCTCGAGATCCATAATATGGTATATTTGTACAAGAAAACTCTTTTGAATACTACTCCATATTATTTAATTTACAAGATTTCAATGCAATATTTAATTATATTAAAAGAAAAGTTAACTTCGTCTACTTGAATTATAACTTCATATAACGATATAAATTAGGCGAAAATGTCAAATATGCACAACTACTACTCACAATTGCTCAATTAACCCTTGGTCTAAAAAAGATCCAATTTGATACACAAACTTCCTAAAATTCTTGCATTTACCATTTTTTTCAGGTTCCATAAGATTTTGATGATATTGTGTTTGATTAAGCTGATGTGGCTTGCAATTTTATTTTATTTTTTAACATGGCGTCCAATAAAATTTAATTTTGTTTGAAAACTAAAACTAAAAAAGCCCTAAAAGTCCCAATTTGTGTTCTGAATACGTAAAAAAGCGAGCCTGAATAGATGCTTCTCCCGCCATTAGTACTCCGAGCAGAGCGAGTCGAAGAAGAAGAAGAAGAAGAAAGGGGAATCGAGGAGTGATCTGCGTGTAATCTCTTTCTCTTCATAGCTACATTTAATTGAAAGAATTATAATTTGTCTCTCACAAATATATCAATTATATTATTAATATCACTCATGAATTATTAGTGGTGTAAATGTTGCCTCTCAATTTTTAAAACGTGACATATATTGTCCTCCCCATAAAAGAAAATATTAATTATCTCAAAAAATACCAATATTTTCTATTTAATGTGAATAAATCAAATTAAATGTTTAATGACAAATTTATACATTGTCCTATAAATTAATCAAATAAAATTATTTCATTGAAAATGCAAATTTTATACACACACATGATGGTAGCAGTACATGCAGACTAACCTTATCTCCATGTAAAATAATCAGGGATTGGAAATTAATGAAAAGGAAAATATTCATGTGGCATTTCCATAATTACAATAGTGTATTTAGAAATGATTAATAGTGCATTAACGAATAACTAATAGTGAACTGTTATTGATGATTAGTGCATTGTCAATACACCATTGTAACTACAAAAATGACAATGTAATTTTTTCTTAATTTTTAACATTTAATTATCTTAAATAAATGGATGAATTATTAATTCGCACGTTATAACAAGACTACTAGTTCTCATATCATCTTTAATCCAGATTATATATATATATATATATATATATATATATATATATATTTATTTATTTATTTATTTATTTATTTATTTATTTATTTATTTATTTATAGGAAAATGGCACTTTTTACCCCTGAGTTATATACTTATAGCACTTTTTTCCCCTCAATTATTTAGGTAAGCACATTAGCCCCCTCAGTTATTCTAAAAGTGGTGCTTCCCCCCCCCCCCCCCGATATATTCAATTGACATTTATACCCTTAAAGTAAATATTTTATTTATTTTACTTCTCCAACAAATTATTGCGTATACGTAGGGATGACCACGGTTCGGTTTGAATTGAACCGGATACTATAGCAATCGAATTAATAGTTTTCGGTTATAATTCAGATCTAGAATCCAATATTTAAATGTCAATTTATTAAAATTATGTATCAAAAAAATTGAATCTTGAACCGTGAACCGGCGGTTCTGGATCCGATTCGCGATTTTGAACCGTCTTTATTTTAAAATTTTATTTTTTATTTTAAAATAGTATAAATTCAACAATATATGTATTTTATTTTTTCAGTTCGGAACATGAACCGTCCATTCTTGTTCACGATTTTAATAAACTCTAAATATCGGATTTCGATTCTAAATTGTAATTGGAATATTTCGGTTTGGTTGCTATAGTGTTTGTTTGGTTTGAACCAAATTATGGTCATAATTTGTTGGAAAAAAATAAATTAAATATTTAGTTGAAGGGTAAATATGTCCATTTAACATTTCAGGGGAGAAAACAGTCACTTCAATAATTTAAGGAGCAAAAATACTATAGGTATATAACTCAGGAAGAAAAAGTGTCATTTTCCTTTTATTTATTTATTTATTAAATTTCAAACAAGGTTATCCAATAGTAAATGCTTAAATAGTCAATAGTGCTAGCTGCCATTTTGTTGTGGTCATTAACTCGGTACTAATAAAGTGGGTCCATTTATCACGAGGAAACAATAATTATGTCCAAAATAAATCCGCGCACTAAAATAAAGGTAAACATCCGCAGTTTCACACGCTATTTTCTTCATTTATTAGTGCTATGCATTTGAACATGTTTGAATGACAAATAGAAAGCCCTAGAATTTAGGGTTAAGTGGCACAGTCCATAATTTAAAATGTCATAAATTTGATATTAATAATTTAATAATAATATCAATATTTTGTTAAAATTTAAATACATTATGTTGTGGAATGCACTAGTACATTTTTCAAATTTGAAAAAAAAAAATAATGGGTTAAACTTTTTTTCGAGTAAGAACTGGACTTTGCATGCACATCTCAAATTGAATTTGGGTTTGACCATCTTATAGTGGTGAGGGTACCGAATACCTAATGAAAAATTGGAGAGTTTAAGTAAATATAATCTTATAATATCATATGTTTTATAGAGTTATACCGTGTGCTTTGTTAGGGAGACATAAAGGAAGAATACTATAATAAAACTAGCTAGTGTTGTGAAATTAGTCTAGGCGGTCGCCTAGGCCTAGGCGATTTCAGCCCTAGGCGTCTTTTAGTCGGCCGGGCGACTAACCAGCCGACTAAGCACCCTAGGCGCTGAGTTGAGCGCCTAACTCGAGTGAGTGGTTTATTTTATCTACTCGGCTTCTTTTATTTCATATTCTTCCAGTTCTCAACCATGTACTCAACTAACCATCTAATATATGTGCCACCCAGACGCCTGACTATGACAACATTGAATACTCAGCCGCCTAGGCACCAGGAGCCACCCGAACGCCTGACTAGCTAGCGCCTAGCACCTTATAGAACATTGAATAAAACACAAATTGCGTACATTTCAAAAGGTGTAACGTAGGTATACGATATTATAAAATTTTCCAAAAATATTAATGAGGGTGGGGAATATTGGAGCTTTCAAGTAGTAATGGGAAGGGCAGTGAGCCCCCAATCCCCATTCACTGCGCACATTCTTTAAGTTGGGATGATATGATGAAAGAGTAATTGGTATTAAGTGCATGGTGGTTGCATGTAGTAATTGGTATTTATTTTACACTTTTTTTTTCTTTTTTTTCTTTTTTTTTTTAAAGTCGATTGGGTCCATAACCACCATATTTTATCGCACTTTTTCTTATTAGACTACCAATCTACCATATGGGAAACATGATTCTTATATTAAAAGATCATACTTAACTCGAGTTTGATTCTTACAATACCTACATCTCTATCGTCAAATATGATATTCTTAGTGTCATTTACGTTCCTTAAGTACTTTACATGATATTACGTAAGAGCATGATTTACAGTTGTATACCTTCAAATAGTGATTTTTACAACATATATTGTAACATTAACCTGTAAATCCATCATCATTTCTTTAATACATATGAAATGTATCACTCTATTTGTCACATTTACTATTAATTAATCAAACAATCTGTTCTTGCTTCCTTTATTAATTGAATTATAAATAATTTGAGTCAACTTTCTTTAAACAAATCTATAAAATATAATGAAACAAATGAAGTATATATAATATTAGAGTATAAACGTTAAAATAAACAAAAATTTGAGAATAGTTAAATAAATAGAGGAATTTCAACAACTTATTTGTTCTCTCTATTACTGGTGATTGAAAATTTGTTCCTCGTGAAATCGTAGAACAAATTTTGAGTCACCAATAGTGCGTAACAATACATGTGTAAAATCAAAGAACAAAACTAAAAAATTTACTTTTCAAAAAAAAAAACTAAAAAATTTAATGTTACAATTCAGTGTACCTCAGTAGATCAGAGGTCATAACTCCTACCGGATAAACACCGCCGCCGCCGTACAGATGAACGGAACCCTAAACCGTGATATTATGCGTAGAATTTCGAAGCTCGCTCATCGTCTCTTGTTGTGGAGCGGATTTGATCCGGTCGGGACTTGTCTCTTCTCGGCGCTGAAATCTCCGGCCGCCACGACCACGCTCCTCGGAGGATGAAAGGCGTGCGGTGCTGTTCGGGGTGCCGGCGCCGGGAACCCTAGCGGCCGGAAGGCTTGAGCTGGCGGGGAGATGAGGAGGAGGAGAGTGATGAGGAGGAAGGGGAAGTGAAAGCGATGCATGTTGGGTTGAAAAGTAAATTTATGAGAAAATGAGGGAATTGGGAAATTATAAGTAATATATGGAGTGCTAGTTCTTCTTTTATAGGCCCCTCTATGTTTCTTCAAGGAAATTAAAAAGAAAGACACAAGTTCTTGGCTTAATATAGCTAAGTAACTAGTTAATTTATAAAATATAATGTGATACCTAATTTTCTCGAAATAAACCTTAAAAACTAGTATTTTTTAGGTGACTGATTTGTCATAATTTGTACTCCCTCCGTCCACATTTTGTTTGTATGGTTTGGTTAACGAGACGTAACTGAACTTATTTTTAATTCAACTTTAATTTTCATAATATTAAATTTAATATTAATATATAAAATTTATATATTTAGAAACTAAATATTATAAACACAAAAGTTTAAATTTAAAAATAATTAAAATTATGTAAAAAAAAAAATAAAGAAATAATTGGTTTGACCAATGAATATTAAATATGACAGACGAAATGAGACAACTGGAGGATTATGTAACGATACTATACATACAGATCATATCGAATATGTTTTGAACTTTTGACTATATATATGAAAAAAAAAAAAAAAAGGTCAAATAAACCCTCCAACTATATATCAAAGTGCAATTAACCCCTCGAACTAAAAAATTCTTCAATTAAACCCTTTAACTTGTTAAAATGGAGCAATTAACCTATTTGACCTATAATAACATGTTACCTTCAAGTCACCAGCCACGTAGGATTCCACGTAAGGTGCCACGTCAATTAATAATTTTAAAGTTATTTTAAAAAAAATAATTAATTATATTTATTAAAAAAAAAAAAAAAAACTAAACTAAACAATGCCATGGACTAGATCAGAAGCATTGGCTTCTCCAGTTCTCCATGAACGGAGAGAAGCTCCGTTCATGGAGAAGCCATGGCTTCCCAAACGGAGGAGAAACCACGACTTCTCTTCTCTGTACATGGAGAAGCTCGTTGGTTTCTCCATGAACAGAGAAGAGAAGCCAACGACCTTCTCTGTTCAAACGGACGAATCTGGCAGCGTCGAACGGATGATTCCGGCAGGGTCGAATGGACGATTCCGGCAGGGTTGAACGGACTATTCCGGCAGCTTTGACAATTATTTCTTTTAAGTTTTTTGTTTTTTTTAATATTTAAATAAAATGCCATGTAGATGTCAAGCAAGCAAAATTAATTGGTTACTTGTTAAAAACGATAATTGCACACTTTTAACAAGTTTAATGATTTAATTGAAAGTTTTTTTAGTTCGAGAGGCTAATTGCACTTTGGTATATAGTTAGAGGGTCTATTTGACCCTTATCTAAAAAAAAAATCTATCTATTCAAGTACTATTCTTATTTGTTTGAACATGAGTTCTTAATTGCTAACGTTCCACTTACTTATACAGTTATACATGTCGTATTACTCAAACTAGTCGGTCACCCTAATCGTTAGATCTAAGTCAACTCACGATAGATGATCGGATCAGTGTGTATATAATAATTATATACTCTATTTTTTTTTTATTCTCTATCAAATTGACAAATTTTAATTAACAAAAATAACAAGTCATAATTTACTGGTGGCTTGTGGTCCGCTGGTATCGGATTGCTCCCCTATGTGGGAGGTCTAGGTTTCGAGCCTCAGTGTAGGCATAGATTGTATGGGTATTCCCCTTCCTTTGTAATAAAATAAAAAAAACAAGTCATAATTTTTTAAAAATGTGTAAGATGAATTTTATTCTTTTAAAATACCTTTATTTCGTTTTTCTATATATGAGTTATATATTTACTTTTGGATGGGATGCAGAACGCTGACGCTTGGGAATGGAAACAATGAGGCCTTTTTAAGGGAGACTTTTGACTTTTTGAATCTTTGAGAGTTTGACTATTAGGTATGCTTATAGTTTAATATAATTGTCAAAATTATAATATTTATATATTATTATTGGAATAGAAGTTCGAGGTATTTTTCACCATAAATTTATTTTTTATTTTTTTAATGACAAGTGTCTACTAAAATAAGTCAAAAAGACCAAAAAAGCCTTCCTACGAATCCCACCGTGGATTCTCTATTCTTCGTGCACGCATGACAACGATCAAAGGCGTGTGAAACGAAGCGACGAGGACCGGAAGCGTGAGACACGCGTCGAGGGGCATTATGGTCTCACAAAAATGTCAAAGTCAAACGCCGACGCGACGCTTTCATGATAACTGGGAAATTATGCAGAGCTAATGCCTAATGGCTGGCTATTGCTAGCCGCTACTGTGCGTTTCCACCGCCTACGAATGTTTGATTAATATTTCATTCACATAATTTAATGATTCATTTTACGACATTGATAATCCTAAATACAACTATATATATAATATGTCTATCGTTTCAAACTATCAATGCTCAGATAGTATACATTGAGTACATGAAGTCACACGTTTAAATCTTGTCAACATATTATCAGTTACGTTAAACACATTGCACATAATTTTTTAGTGCGTTTTATTCATCTTGTGTTGTTTGTGAGCTATTATATATAGAACAAAGTTTACTCAATGCAAATTCTTGGATAGTGACGGTGACTTTTTATCGTCACTCAAAAATAATATACATAATTATATCTAATACCATATGTACAAGTATTGATAATTTAACAACTATTTTTTCTTACAATGTAATATCTGTCCATATATATATACTTTCTCAACCTACTAAAACACAAAATAAAACCGATACTTTCATTAGATTTCGAACTTAAGACTCCCCATTCATGATATCAAATGGAAATACGGAGTAGTATTTATGCAACATTCAAGGCCAACATTAAATTTTGATAACTGGCTTGAAAGTTCAGTTCGATTGGTGAACACTCTCTTACTCACCATCATTAATTTGTGAAATGGAGGACACTTTAACAAGTGCATTAAATAAAAATGATGTTAACAAATGTATTTAACACATAAATATAAATTTTAATCTTAATATTTATTGCTCACAAACCGTGATATTTCCCATCAAGTGCGTGTTTGGTCCAACTAGATAATATAAAATAATTATTTAAGAAGGTATAAAAAGTGCTTTTCATAAAGTTAGTTTTAAACAAATATATATTAGAAGACTATAGGAAAAAAAAATATGGAGTATAATATTTTCTAAATGATTTTATTTAGCTATTATATTTTATATAAACTAATTAATTAATTAAGAACCCCATATCTTTCAACGAAACACAATTATTATAAGTTTTGAACAAGAAAATTATTAACCCTCAAATCCAACCCCATACTTGACTACAACACAAGATTAAATAATACTTTTTAGAAAGTACAAAAGTAACGAAACATCTATCTTTTTACCTCTTATTATTTGATAGTAGATACAACATTTCAATTTCTAAGTGAATTTGTCAAATTGAAGAGACATAGTCATGTCTAATATAACTTCTCTCTTTTTTTTTTTTAATCGAAAGGGAGGGGGGACCCCAGGGGAAGTTTAGCTAGTTCCACGGCTCATCCTCGCCATGCACAATCTGTCAAGCTCAATGTAATCATCCACACCGGGAGGGCAAGACATGAAAACACGCCAAGACGTATTCGTGTTAATACTCCAAGACGCCATAGCATCAGCACTCTCATTTTGTTCCCGAATGATTTTCTTGAGGGAGATCTTCCAATCCTTCTGACACCACCTCTTGGCCTCTTCAATGTGTTCGACAATAGGGCCTCTTAGCTTAGCGTTTCCAACAATCCAGTCGATGACCATGTTAGCATCCGATTGCATTTCGACATCTCTGATGCCCATCTCCCATGCCCACGCTAGACCTCTAACAATGGCTTCAGCTTCTACAATGGCTGCCTCTCCGTATCTTGCACTGCCGCAGAAGCCTCCCCTCCAAGAACCATTGGCGCTTCTAAGGACACCCCCATAGCCAACTTTCTGATTTGTGGGCTTAACACTAGCATCGATGTTTATTTGGTGATGAATTTAAGACTAACCTTATCACTAATAGAATAAAATTTGCAAGATGATGTGAAAAAGAGGATAATATATATAGAAAGTGATAAGATGAAATTTGCAAGATGATGTGAAAAAGAGGATAATATATATAATTAAAAAGTGAAATTACTTTTGAAAGTAAGAGAGTATTTCAAGAATAAGAATGTCCTAACATTCAAATTATTAATTTACATTTTGCAAGGCAAATATCAATATAGAAAGAAAAGAAAAGATGGTTACTAATGTTCCATGTGCCAGATGGACAATAATAGTGTGCTAATGTGCATCAAATGAATTTTTTACAACTTTTTTTGGAATATTTTTTTTTAAAAATTTTTTTAGCACAAGAGAACTCGAATTCGCTTTGATATGATCCAAAATGGACACCATTCAAAATAATACATCAAATTAAAATAGTATTCTTATGCAAATTTTCAACAAATAATATGTAATTAAGCTATCACTATTGACATGGCTTTCACATATGATTTTGATACTTTCATGCATATTGCATTGAAAATTGATACAAACAATTTTTAGATAAAATAATTATTAACCGTATTCGTGGTCATTAAACCATTCAAACTTTGTTTAAATAGTTGTAAATGTCTTAAAATTTTGACTTTATACTTAAGTAACTCATATTCATTCTAGTTAGAATTAACATATTCCGACCCTCTAATTTTTTGTTTGAAAACTAAAAACCAAAACTATTATTAATTTGAAGAAGAAAGTAACGAGAGAATACAACCCTCCAGCCCCCTTCACTTGTCAGCCATGAATGTAAAGTTACACAGAACCATTGACCCTCATATGGTGGAAGCCATGGCTAGTAGAGATGTTATCTCATGGTTAACAGATCACGGTCTCACCACAATGAAGTTAGAATCGGACTGTACCAGTGTAGTAGCAGCTTTGACCCACAAATACAAAGACCTAACTTACACAAGATATATTATTAATCATTGCTTTAATATTATGACAAATTTATAATTTATAGTTTAATTAAGAAATCAATAAACCTGTTGGCTCATACACTAATCAGCTCGGCAGGCTCTCAATCTGACTCTCGAGTTTTGAATTCTTCCCCTCATTCTCTTCCAACTCTCTAATTAATTACTATTTGGGAAGAATTACAATTTCAATACTAAATAAAGTATGCAACAATACTTTCAATACCTAGAGGCTTCATAAATTGGCTAATCCGGTACCCGACCCGATGATGTCCACTCGGTCAATTGGATAATATTACAAATCCCTAATTTATCATATCCCTAATTCCCCAGCTTTTCCCATTCTCTGCCCACCTGCTTCTTCATCTCGTATTCTCACTCATACTTCAAGTTTGTATTCATCGGCGAAGTCGCCGAGCTCTCTTCACTCCTCAGTCCTCACTGCTTCAGTACATTTAACTTGTTGGCTTGATCAATGGTGACTTACTAGCGGAAAACGCCAAGTTTTCCTATGTGGTGCGTGATTTTCCAGAACCATTTTTGATTGATTCAGTTATTTTTACGTTTAGATTTGGAATGCCAATGCTCTCTATGCTGTTGGATTAATTCTGGATAGTGAAAAGGTAAAACACTATGTTGTGATAAAAGAAAAACATAAATTTTAATGTCAAATTCCTATTTTTTTTGATGAGATGTCATTGTTCCGCCACACTAATTTTATATTTCCCAATAGGGTTTTTTTTGCTACTAAATTGAACTGCGATTTATTTTAAAAACTTTGGATGATTTAAAGCCTAATTAGTGGCTAAATTTCCCCTTATCAATGCAGGAAGCTCATATAATTGAAGGAGGGGGCTTTAGGCAGTGAAAAGCTTAAAATGGTAATAGTTCTTACAAAGCTCTTCTATGCTTGTTTGTTTGATTGAATCTGAGTATGCTTTTGGCATTTCATTTTGTGAACACTGGTGATGTATGAAGAGCAGATTTTTCGTACTTTATAAATAAATCAGGATGAACTTCCCCTGGCGATTGACTTGTCAGAGGGCTAAACAAACTTTGCATTAGATAAAAATTGACATAGTATAAAATAAAAACAATCAATGGCTGAATCTGAATGACAATCACGCTTATTAAACTACAGCAAAATCTGTGAAGGATGTCATTGAGCATTGACTACTAGGAATTTAGTTTCACTGTAGGTTGGGCTTGGTGTGGTGACCTGTTGTTAACCTATTTGATTGTTAGGTTATGGGTTAAAGTCCTGGCAACAGGCTATTTGATGGAGATAAAGTTATATTTTCCTTGCCAGATTTTGTGTCATTCAGGAACCTTGTTCATTAGTCGGACATTCAGGAACTTGACTCTGGTCTGCCACTATGCCAATTATAATTGCACACACTTGACCATTTCTATCTTTTTCTCTATTTCAGACTAAGTAAACATTTATTGGGGTTTAGGTAACTCCATATATTTCTTAGGTGCAGCTGATAAATCTGGCAAATAGGTCTAAAATAGAGTTTTGTGTCAAAAATGTTTTTGCGAGTAGGGAATGAGTTTGACTCGGTTTGCTTCTTTTTAATAGTCTTTTCTTTTTCACAACTTGTAAATATTTGTGGCACACTTCCTATTGAATTGCTATTGCTAATTTGGTATTTATTCAGTGAGATTAGTTTGAGGCAGTGCTGCTTGGTTAATGTTTAAGTTTCATCACCAATGTGTTTTTGTGTATTTGTTCCTTTCACTGACCATGGCCATGTTTGGTAACATAGATAGCTTATCAGCCAATTTTGACTTGTTTGATCACTATTAGTTGTTTGACTTGGTTAAACATCCAACATGAGTGTTTGATTAATTAGCTTTTTGTAACAGCTTATTACTCCAAAACGCTAAAATTCAAAAAACTGCTCAAAGCAGCTTCTTCGATAAGCTTTTTGAGAAAGTCATTTTGCATGTAATAAGCTATCAGCTAACAACTAATTTACCAAACATTTTTCTACAATCAACTAATGCTATCAACTAGTCAAACCCACTAACCCAATAAGCTAACAACTATTTGCCAAACACCCCCAATATACTCATCAATGCACTTTGATAATTTTTTGGATTGTGTGTCAGAATTTCATGCAAGAGGATGATGTGCTTCTGGAGACTACACGGGCTAAGTGTATCAGTCTTGACTTGCTCTTTTCCCTTGTTCAAATTTGTCCTTTGATCTCCCTAAATTTATACTAATTCTTTTGTTGGCAGTTTCAAATGTTCTTAAAAGGCATGGAGAGCTGGCAGAGCGTCTTTCTAGGTAGAATTTTCGAAGATTCCTTAACTCCTTTCCTTGGAATTCAAAATATTTTAAGCTACTTCTTTCCACTCTTATAGTGTTGCAACTTGCAAACTTTTATTGGATAATTGCTAAATTGCCTAAAAGATACACTAATGAAGATTGTCTAAGTTTCTTTTAGATTTCAGTAACATTTGTGATATTCACTGTTCACATTTAATATTTTTCATTGGAATGTAGTACGTGTATGCTTCTTTTTCTTGCTATTGTCAAGGCTTTCAAATTTCTTGTAAATGCAGAAGCTTTCCCTAGAATCTCTAACAAATAATGCACTTGTGGTGGAAAAAAAATTATTTTTGTTTTCTTATTTTCCCTATGGTCGGGAAAGCTAAATATTAATTGAAAATTACCCCACGCATCAGTGCATCACTAATGACCAAAGAGTCTCTAAAAGTTTGCTTTTGTCTTGTTTGACTCTCTTAGGGACTCTGATAAGACAATTTTTGAGCGTTTGCATAGGGAATTTGAAGCTGCTCGTGCTTCCCAAGCTCAAGGTAGGTCTCCACTTAATATTTAGTTGTTCTATTGGGATAATAGCTCTCTTTGTAGATTTGGTGGAATGTATCTATCCTCTATTCCTGCAATTGTTAGCATGTGTAGTAATGTAGTATGGTAGAGTGTTTTATTGTGTATAAGGTGTGGACAAGCATAATTCTGTTGAGGAGGTTTTGTTATATTGATATTACAGATTTTATTTAGGACTACATGATATTTGTGATGTTACCTTTTGGATCCCCCATTTTTATGTCTTTCCTACCTCTCAATGTTAATCCATATGTTACTATGTTGGTGGCACCTCACTTGTCTCGTTTGATGAGATATTTGCCTTTGTAGAAATTAGCTTGGAAGGTGAACAATGGAACGATGGCTTATTAGCTACAATAAGGGAGCGGGTAATTTTCCATTTATTTTATATATAAAATGTTATTCTTTATCTTGTTTGTAAAAAATATTAGAAGTCTGAATACCTTTTTTTTTTCCCTTTTCTTTTTAGCGTTCGTTGTTCTCTGTTGTTTGACATTCCTATGATGACTGATGAAACTAAGCAATGGACTAGTTAAATTTTCTAATAGTTGAATTCTTTGTTCAACTGATCTATTAATATTCTTTTTGTTATAGTGGGACCTGTTATACTTAAAATCAGGGATGTTTTCTAGCCAAGCCAAGCTGCACATTTCTCATGCTTAGCTCCAGTTACTGAGTTCACTAATCCAAAAAAATAGAAAGAAGAAAAAATCTTGAGTTATTGAGTTTATGAGTCAAGCCATAGCAAGCTTCTTGATTAAAATTAAAAATGAAATAGATAAAATGTAAAGGAAGTAAATAAATAAATTAAAAAATTAAAAGCTTGACCATAGTTGTGAGTTTGCCATCCCGAGCACCTCAGAGCTTGATCTAGATCAACTTTGATCTGAGCCACACTTTGACGTACTTGAATTCAAGCAAATTGCAAGCTTGCCCGTCTCACTTGCACTTCTTACTTATATTTTAGTCTCTCTTTTATCAATTTCTTCTCTGATATAATCATGGAAGCTCCATAAAATGAAAACTATCTTATTTGGGGAATTTAGCTCCATTTTGGTGTGGATTTGAATATTATAGTAACTTCCCCCTTTTGCTTTGTTTTTTTTCCCCATGGGTGAGGCAATCTATTTACTCTCATTCATCTCATGTATATTATTTCGTTTTCTTTAGCTCAAATCCTTAGTACCAAACACTAAAATCTAAATAGATTAAAATGATTGCAAACCTATGTACAATATGGGTGTATATTGGTCAACTGACAACAACTCATTTCACTTTCCCTATGCAAATCAATTGTTTGTGTGAATCTTTTTTCTACAATTTCATGTGAATAAATAAGCATTGGCTGTTTCTAAAGTGAATGGTTTCCTTTTTGTTTGTTCCAATTTTATGCCCATTTTCCTGAGATTTCTTTTGGGAGGGGGCATAGGCATAGGGAGAGTTTATTCGTTTTTTCTATTACCTGAGAAGGTAATGGTACCATCTTTCTTCTTCTTTAAATGAATTTTACTGCAATTTTAATTCTTTGGATGGCTTCATCCTAAACTAACGTTTTTTAAAACTTCAACGTAATAATTAAATCTATTCACTATTTTTCCCATAATAGATTTTTCATAATCAAAGAAGACCCTTAATTTGGAATTGAGGGAATAATAAATATATAATTGGGTGATTCTCTGTATAACACAAGATGTGGCTGACCCCTCTGAGCTCTATAATTTGCTCACATGTGACTAATATCTAATTAAACTATGTCGATTTCTTAAAAACAAATTCAATTGACCCTTGGAGAAGTTAAAACAATGGGAAACGTCTTGGTTTGGGGAAATTCTAGACACAAAAATAGTGAATTTCTGTGGCGAAAAACTATGGAAGTTAGAAACATGAAATCATAGATTCTCTACGAGAGAAAGCAAGTCAAATTTAGGTTAAAGTCAACAAATTTATTTAGTATGGACTATGGAGTAGTAAATTTATAAAAGAAGGAACTAGTTTTCTTAAAGAAGGCATTTATGGTCTTTAGTAATTACTAATCACTAATCATTACTATTTGATGTAATTTTTATAATTAAGAAGATACTAATAAATTTATATAAAGCAAGTAAACGAGGTAGAAGAGAGGCTCCTCAAATGGCACTTTGTGTATATACATAGATTCTACTATGCGAAAATATATTTTTCACAAACTTCATATAATTATAGGTTGAGAAGGTATGAGTACTTTATATAGTCCTTTCTGCTTTGTCTTCTTAAATAAGAGAAATGATTTTCAATATTTCTGGAGCAAATCCTGTTTGTAACCAGAGGAACTTACTGTAAAATTTGCCATTTATATTAGGTTCACATTGAGGCTGACATAAAGGCCATGCAAATGCCAGGGGATACAGCCCAGTCTCCAATTCCATGTCAAGAAAAAGTTACATATAAAATTGGTAATAAGGTATGCTGTGCTGAAAGTTGCATTGATCATGCTTAATGCACAGAAACTAAAATGCCCCCGCATGCCTTGCAAATGTGTGTTGTGTGTATTATCTGTGATTCTGTGATTTCTTTTTATGAATCTTCATGATTACCATAAGTGAATTGGCATGTCATGTCCAAGGGGTGCGATGACTCTCATACTCAGAGTTTCTTATATTTGTTCTTATGCTGAGTAAAATGTAGAGGCTTTTGTTTAGTATTCATGATAAATTGTGTGCATTTCCTAACTTTGCTTGATTTTAGGAAAAAATCATTTACACCTTTGGCTTTGGTATTATCAAATGGAAAAAACTCTTATTTATTGTAATTGAGGATGGCTTTTCCTCTGTTATATTTTCATGAATATATTCTTGACTTATCAACAAAAAATCAATGGTGGACATAAAATGTTTTGGTAAAATGTGAATGAGAAACTTCTGGCATGCTGACCTACTTCCATTGTCTTCCATTCAGGTGATCTGTTGTTTAGAAGGAGCAAGAATTGGTATACAATATGAAACATCTTTTGCTGGTATTTCAAATGCTCATTCTTGACTGCTATTGCAGAGTTTTTAGATATGTGAAGAACATTACTTAATATGTACTCATACAAAGTTTATTACAAAATCTAATTTGTTGAAATTTATGAAAAGATTCAGATGATTTGTTAGACAATAGCTGTGTCAACTGTGATAAATGATCTACTTACTGTCATACATGATAGTTTTTGCAATTTGTCTTATGCAAAGCTGTTGTTACATTGTTGATGATGCTTTCATGTGTGGTGCCCTTATATCTTTGCATAAGGGCTGTCTGATACAGATATCTTAACTCATCCACTTTTATTTTGCAGGAGAAACTTGTGAGCTTTACCACTGTGTGCTTGAGAGCAAGTCATTTCTTGAGAAGATGACTGTTATTGAGCACACAGTCCCTTTTTTCCTGCCAATACGGGAAGCTGAAAATGAGTTTCTCTCTTCAAATGCAATGGTAAAATTATGGCTTGAAAACCTGTTTCAGATGTGGGAATGTCCATTTGTGCTAACATATTCTGATAATGTCTTTCAGAAATTCATAGACCATGTGGGAGATCTGTTGCAGGCCTATGTAGATAGACGAGAGCAGGTATATGCTTTCTACATCAGTGGCTGCTTAATACCTTTTGATTTTGTATCTTAGTTTTTGGCTTTAGATTTAGAGGATCTGTTACTGCCCAACATTTGTTCTCTACTATCTTTGATACAGAGTAGTATTTATCTTCTCTGAGGAGAAAGTGTGATGGGTTTTTAAGAGTCCAGTGGTGTATGTGTATAGAAGTATAGAACTGTAATTTAAATGGTTTCTCTCAGCCATGTTGCAATCATGCTCATAAAAATTATGAGTGTCAACCCTTCCAATATAGAAAATGTACTTGCACTTCTTCAAATACATGCTTGCTAGAGTAACTAGATTTTATGAGGAAAAAATTACTCTTCTTCGATGGTTTCTAGTACTAGGTCATTTCCAGCAATTTGAAATATTGTAGGGTGTTTTGGATGTTTAATTTTCTCATTTTGGCAACCAAATTTTAATGAAAATAGATTTGTAGTCATTGACGGTTGAGAGCAGGTCACAATGCATCTCAATTATGTGATTTTGTTATTTGCATTCAGCTCTTGTATTTTTGCAGGTTCGACTTATTAAAGAGTTGTATGGGAATCAGCTTGGACAGTTGTATCATAGTCTTCCATATCATATGATTGAATTTGTGCTTGATGATTTTGATTGGTAGGTCATTTTTTCATCCCCCATACCTAGCTAGTTATAAAGAAAAAATATTCGTTCGGTGATAAAATGATAGATTCATTTGTTATACTTCCCACTCCAATTCAGTTCTTGTTTGTATGACGTAATTCTATCCATTCTAATTGCATTCTCTTGTAGATCCTTTCATTATGATGATTTCCGATTGCACATTGACATTCTAATTGTACAAAAATGCGTTTCCCCCTTGCAGTAGGATAACTGTGTGCCTTAGATACGCTGACCTTGTGTCTACACTACCAACTGAGGTCAGTGTTGTGGCATGGCCAGCGAACCACTCAAAGAAGTCTTCAAATTTTATTGCTTCAACCAGGAAAGGAAATTACCCGGTCCCTGAACGTCTGACTTATGCAGAGGAGGCACTACGAACCATGAGCCTTCCAGAAGGTAATTTACTCATTTACATTTATGTTCACTTCTGTTAAATAAATTCTACAAATTATTATATCTTTTGCATATGGTTTCAAGTAACTGATTATCACAAGATTTATAACCAGGGCTTACTTTTCTCTAATTTCGTAAAGTTTGAAGATTCAAAGTAAATAACCACCATAAGTAATTCTACTTTAAGTTATTCTACTTGTGTAAGATCTGTGTTTTTCATCTTAACATCAATTATTAAAGTGCGTTAAGTATACCTTCTCACTTGAAAATCGACTGTAATCTGCATTTTCTTACTTTTAAATACAAAATATATACTTATACATTTCATTATATTCCCTCTCCCTTCAGCATATGCAGAGATTGTTCTGAACCTTCAACAAGCTCTGGGAGACGTGTTTCTGCCAGAAGGTCCTGCGTAATTACAGCATGCATTCCGGGACCAAGAATCACCATCGGTATAGCAAGACTAACAACAATGGCGTCGATTGCTCCGTGTAAAAAGAGATGAGTGCAGATGAAGTACATTAATGTGTAAATCCTCACCAATTCCTTTTTCTGTTGTTGAACATGAAGCTCAGAGTTGAGATTTTTTTTTTTTTTCTTTGAGGGTTGGGGGTTTGGTCAGTTCAGGGATTTGGGATCTCCTCTTTGGGCACTGCTCCAACATGGAGAACTTTTGGAAGTAGGAAATCTTACAGGACATCATATTAAATGTTAGCTCATTGCAGTTTCAACATTATTTATCGCGAATTATGATAGCACAAAACTTTTAAAGGTTTTTTCAACAAAAAAAAAAAAAAAAAACTTTTAGATAAAGGTGAGCTTTTTTTTTTTTTTTTTTTTTTAAAATTACAATGGACCATGGTTCATAATTAGAGATGATAATGAGTTAGGATTAGAGTGAGAAATCTTGCCCATTCTCATCTCCATGGGAATTTTCAAGGACAGATTTCCTATCACTAATTAACCTTAACAAACTAGTATAATTCTAAATATTCACATAAAAATCAAAATACTAAACCTTCCTTAAATCCTCAATGACAATCGGAATACTAAATATGAAATGCTAATAATTTTCAATTAAATAAGAAAATAATTTTAAAATGTCAACTCATCCAGTATCCAAATACATCACAAATAATCTTTATTTTTCAAATTATTATTATTAGAGATAGTGCAAGTTAGTAACTAAAATAATGGAACACTTTTGAATTTTGTTTGTTTATTCATTTCAGTCATGAACATATGCTATATTGCTATTCAAAATAATATGGAAAATTTTGAAAAATAATTAAAGAAGATGATATATATTATTATATACGCGCGAAGTGCTACTAATACAACTTTTTAAATTATTCAACTTTCCCAATATCTTTGACTAAGAAAGCAAAACATTACACCTTTTGATTAAAATTGGTATTATCTTTAATTTAAGCCTAAGTGTCATCCCGCACCATCAACCATTCCAGATTATTCATGCTGTACCCTGACCTTTTATAACGTATATTATATTTTGATCTATAAACTATTATTTTTTTTTAGTCTAGAATTTTTTTTTTATAGATTTTACGGTAATCTTGATGACATGGCGCGGTAATAAGGCTGATGTGGTGTTATTTCTCAGTCTGTGTAAGCGTTTTTAATTTAAAAAAAATGATTTCCCTAAAACAGTAAAGATGACGCTTGGACCCGTCGTTGGATGGGCGATGCGGGGAGCCCTTGGATGCGTTTTCCCGGAGCTATTGTCCCGCAACGATGTGAAGTTTGGCGAGGCGGTGTGGTTCAAGGCCGGAGCTCAGATCTTCAGCGAGGGAAGTCTGACTATTTGGGCAACCCAAGCTTGATCCATGCACAGAGCATCTTGGCCATCTGACCATCTCCTTTGTATATTTTACTCCAAGTTTCTTTCTTCCTTAGCAATAAAAATATATAAACACCCCCTTGGACCAAGATTTTTCCAATAAAATGAACGCCCGAGATCCCATGTTGTCATCATAAATCCTCTACTTTCTTGGCAAAGACCCATATCGGTTGCCTGAAACAACAAGTCCCCACTTTCTTTGGTTGTGTGAACAATTTGGATTCTAAGGTTGCCGTATTTCTGTGGGAGTTTGAATAAGAATTTCTCCAAAATAAAAATAGAAAACGATTGTCACCAACTGTAATAACTGTACGTGATGTCTATATTCCGAGAAAATGTCTGGAAATTTGGTAATATATGTAAATTACTTGCGTAGTTGCGTTCATTCACCTAACGACATCTTCATATATGGTCCCCAAATTTAATATTGTTTTTTAGACTTTTGACCTTTGAATTTGGAATATCTTTATGTCCATTCTCTCATGTATATGTTATTCCAATTTGGGTGACAGAACTTATATGAGAGTGTATATTACGTAAATTTTATTTATCTAATAGTCTGTAAATTACATAAAAGAGGTCAATTGTAATAAAAAGATTTGGTGTAACGAATTCAACCTATAGAATGCTGATAAGAATCAAATTATAAAATAGTAATAATACAACTCTTAATATATGTCCAAATTCTACGAAGAAGAAAAGTAATGGAATAAAAATTATGTATTACTTTTTTTTTTCTAGATAAATTAGAATATGAGAGTAACAAATAGCATAAAAAGTAGGTGTACATATATATTATTCTTCTATTACTATCTCATTTTATGTATGATGTATCTGTTAATTTAATTTGTTTAGTAAATTTTAATTCAAGTTATTAATAATTTTTGAGGTAATATTTTGTGTAGTATTAGTGTATAAAAGTTATATATTTGGAAACTACATTTATAGTACTAATAAACACAACAAATTAAATTTAAAAATTTCAAGAAAATAAGTGGAAAAAAAAAAGAATACTTTATTTGATCAATTAACAATAAATAGACAATTAATATAGGCTAACATCCAAGTAACTTATAGCACAATGGTATATATCTCTATGACTCTTTCAAATATGAGGTCACATATTCGAACTCCATTTAAAAAAAAAAAATTAAAAAACTCCTCACGTGTGCGGTGGGTGGGTTCCAAGCAACACGTGGACCGGTAAACCGTAATCACGTAGCGTACGAGTGGTGTTGAGATTCGAACCCATTACCTTTGGTCTGGCTTTAATACCAAATCGAAACATGTGCTCCATCTCAACTAAAAGTCTAAGCTGGTAGTTGAATTGCACGTTAATGGCTATATGCTTAAGTCCGAGTGAGGTTCCTCCTATATTTTTTTTCTTTTCCTTTAAATGCAGGTATTTTGAATCTTCCTCTTTTTATTAAGCTTCTAGATAACTAAAGAAAAAGACCATGGCCAATAAAATTTCAAGTATGAACTTGTGCCTTAATTTCCCTAAACAAACAATTTTGTTTCTTATAGACTTTGAAACAGCGTGGAAAAGAATATGGAAAAAGACAAAATTTTGTTCTTTATCTTTATTAAAGGTTTACTTGCCTCTTAATTTCCATGGAATTTTCAAGATTCCAAGTTATTTTCTTTATCTCAAAATAGTTGTCTTTTTATACACAAAATTCAAAGATTATAATGGATGAAAAATAGATAGTTTTTACCAAAAATTAAGTGTTGACTCAAACAAAAAAAAATTGATCAATCGCTTAAACTAACATGTAGTCAAGAGTTTGAACCCATATGCCAACACCCTCTCAGCTAAGTTCATTGTACAATTTTTTTTTTTAGTACAATTTATCTCTCTTATAATTTGTGGATTATTAAATTTGTGGATTATTATATATAAATGATGATGTTTACCCAATACCCACCATCAATTAGTGACTACGAATTTTCCAGAAGTGTGAACCCATATAGCCATATTGACCTCGAGGCGAGCATTCTCAAGGATTCCATTGGGGCTCCTCACATTCACGGAGACTGATTTTTGCTGCACTCTTTGTTTCTCGGGATTCCACCCTTCCCTTCTTGTAAATAAATAAATAAATAAATAAAGAAATATATATATATATATATATATATATATATATATATATATATATATATTGTTCTGGACTTCCGGTGCAGATACCAATGTGTTATGCAACACATTTACTTAAGTCAATTTGTTGTTGAATTGTTGTTGTTGTTGTTTTATTATTATTATTATTACCAATAGCAATATATATTCTAATTAATACTAAAACCATATGTAGCAATAAAAAGAAAAACTCTAGATAGACACTGTAAGGAGCATAATAGTTAGTGAACATAGATTTTATAATGTTTCGAGGATTAGGGGCTTGATTATATTACTAATTACTTTTTTGGCATAATTAGTGTTAATTTAATGTAAAAAGACGAGTAATTTTATGAAATGAATATAATACGAGTCATTTTGAACCTTATTCTCATATATTGATTTAAGTTTAAAATCTTTAAATCTTGAATTGATGTTGCTTAACACTGTATGTTGAAAACAAAACTCAATAGTATATAGTAATAGTGGATGATGCTTTAATATCTTCCCTGGTAATCTGCTATGTTTGAGTGTATGTCACTATCAAAATTAAATAACTTTACAAAAGCCATAATCATGGCTGCTTTTACTTTGATATACACCACATATAATTTCAAGATTGTAAAAATTGCTAGGCCATAAGCGCCCGTTTTATTTTTATTTTTTATTGTGAAAAAAGAAGTACGTAAAGAACATACATGCAGGGTGCAGGCTACAGCAGCGACGAGGCGGAGCTGCCGGAGTCGAGCGGAGGCGGAGGCAGCACTGGACAGTTGGAGGCAAGTGACGAGTTGCGTCGGCCGGTCTGGGAAAAATGCTAATGGACTGACCATTTTATTATTTTTTAGGGTTATTCGCTCAAAACGACGTCGTTTTGAGCAAATAACCTTTAAAAAAAATCGTCGAACATGCGTCTTCGGCCGGTTAGGCGGTCTAGGCACCCTGCCATGGAGAAGGCCAATTCTGACGTTCTTCGATGCGGTCGGGCGCGATTTTTACAACCTTGTATAATTCTCAGGGTTATGAGCCCCAATACATGCAACATGTAATACTATCACTTTTTTTTTTTTTAATTTTTTTTTTTTGGGTGATATGATAAACTTGTAACTACTATCTGGAAGTGAATATTGAGAAAATCCCACCTTGTAACTACTAAATTGTACATAATTGGCTGACTCAAATAAGAAAATCAATAGGTCACTCCCACTAGAATACTATATGTGTTATTGCTTTTTTTTTTTTTTTTTTTAATCTTTTTATTATAGTTCATATGACATGTTATAATTAATTTAGAAAAAAAAGTTATGAACATTTTTCTTCCTTCGATCAACAAAATTAGAATATGTGGTAACAATTTTACTCAAAGTACACATACTATTTTTAAAAAGTGTTGGGTATGGTACATTTATTTAAAAAAATATTACACCCTAATCTCAAGACTGTCACTGAAATTAATGAATGAGGTAAATGATGTGGTAAGAATGGTGGGTAGGCCAATTGTGAGATTACAAGAGCCAATTATATACATTTGATTGGTAAGAATCAAACTTTACACTCTTCATGATAGACAAAAAAAACTAAACTATTAACTTTAAGTTAATTAATCAGTTAAATTATACTCATGTTGGGCATGTTACATCCCATGTCAAACTTGAATGCTGCTACAGCTCAACAAGTTCATTCTAAGCTTATTTTGGTAAGAATAAAATCTTTGCACGCTTCTGGTGGGTTAGGTCGTCCTAGCTTGTATCTACAAATCTACATCTACAATCTACATCTACAATCTACAAATCTACA